GAAATGATAAATTGATTCCAAAATTGAATTCATGAGAAAGATTAATAGAGATGAAGGAGAAAAGGACGAGATTACATTTTTTAGAAAAAGTTTTTCTTCTCTCAACATTTTGAAAAATTCGAAGGCAATAAAGTTGCTAAAAAAAGTATGATAACTGATAAGAAGAGTAAAGACGAAGGGAAAAAGTCAATTACTGGGAGTTGAAGTCAAGGGACAAAATATGTTGAATATGTGATTCTCAGTGGAGGTCCTAAGGAAACGGATATGAGGTAACCTTGTCTGTTGTAAGTATATTAGGTACAAAAAGCTTTCGCTATTGGAAACAATTTATCTTTTCACAGAAAACCCATTATTCTGGTTACTGGCAAGTTGAGCTGGGAGTAATTTGTTAACAACCATTTTTTGCCTCTTCTTTCTATTCATTTATTTACTTCTTTTTTGGGTTCCTTTCACAGTTCTTACATCAAAATAATTGGTTCATCAGATATTTTCTCACTTTCATCCTTTTCTTCTTATGCTTATACATATTGAACCATTTTGCCATTCAACGTGTTAACATACTCCATTGAGGTTTTCATTAACAACCAATATAATTGCCTCAACAATTGCAATTGAAATTTGTCAACACATTTAAATCAATCGAACAACAAAATTGACTTTTAGGAGCCCAAGAAGCATAAGAATTACTCAGAGCTCAGAATCTTTTATGCGATTTCGATGTAAAAAAGTTCTACTTTTCTAAGATCGAATAGTTTGAATAAGCAATCGTAAAAATTTTAAAGCTCATTTTTCGATTCGAATTCAAAACACCAAAAGCAAATGAGTAAAAATTTCCAATCATGGTCGCAACAAGATTGATGTCCTTCCTCGATTTTTGGCATATTGAGATCACATCGTGGAACCAAGCAATTACCAGAATGTAGAGTTATCTTTAGAATTGAAACTCAAGACGAAAATGAAAAGTGAAGTTCAAGTTACATTTCCATGCGTAACGGTCGAATTGGATTTTCTGCATTCGCATGCGATTAAAATGTTCAATACAAATGTGAGGTTTGTTGTTGATGAAAACACGTGCACTCTAATGTTATCCTTTTAAAAGCCTAGTGTAAGCTTATAACTTGTCTTGGCTGAAGGTTTGTCACTTTAGTCCAGCAGAACAGTATTTACCAGTTAAATCAATGTTATCAATTATTTAGGTTTCATCTTTTCCTCTCTTCTCTATTTGAATTGTAACTTGCATCAAGCCAATCATAATAAATGTATCTGGTTGGTTCAATTTGAACAATTTTTACTTGCATTTCAGATGGGAATTACAGTATTTCATTATTAACTCAATTGTCACGGAAACGAAGGCAACAGCAACAGCAGCATCAGAAAAGGTAAAAAAAGTAAAGGCAGACTCTTAGGCATTATTATTTATGAATGAGAATCATGTGAATGTGATATCATTTGTTTTCATCTTTTCTTGATTATTATTGTTATTATTATTTTACCTTGTGAATGTAAATCAAATTATTATGACTCAATCAATTGAAGCTACAATATTGACAAAAACAAGAGTCACGTAAATGTACTTGAAATGACTACTGCTATTGGAGTCAATTTAATTTATCATCAGCAACAACTCCAACCTAATCAGCTTTATGTAAAATTTATAAACTTTCATGAAAATGTTCATTTCTATTAACATGATTGACTATGTTGATAAGACTCAATTAGCTGATCAAAAGGCCGACTCCAAAGTAATTTACTCAACAAAGAAAATGTTTCCATTTCAACTTCAGGGAAAAGAGCAAAGCTAATCTTTAAAGCCATTGACGGACAATTGTCCAGCTCGTGCAAAGCACTTTTCATGCGTCATTAACTGCACCATTCACTAATCATTGTCTTTATTGCATTTAAATGATTAAATAAACTTTTGTCCATTTTACTGTTGCAAAGGTCAAGCATTTCGTGTGATGAACAAGGCTAAAGTCAACTGTTTGGTTAATTGTAAATTGGTCAGAAAACTGATTACAAATGTCTTTAAATGTATCAATGAGATCAATTGAAAGTGCAAGATAATTATGGGTTTATGGTTTTACCAGCAACAAATTTACAGAATCGAGTGAAACAGAAATTTCATGAGATGAGCTTCTCACATTATCATTACAACCATTTAACGAATGGATTAACTGCACTTTTAATGGATCAAATTGTTTGTCTTTCTTCTTCTTCCTCATCATCATCATCGTTATTTTTCACCAGAAAATGGGAAACAGAAGAAAAATATTTCACTCAAGTAAACAAGCCAATGTAACATTGAACAGTTGAAGGTCAATTTAGAAGTGAAAGTAAATTTTGAAGGAAAAAGGGAAACATCGAAATGATTTTTTTCTCTTCTTCTTTCAACCTTTTTTTCTCTGTCTCTCTGAGTTTCCTTTTCTTTCACCAAGATTCCAATTTTAAATTGGATTAACATTGAATCCATCTGAAATGGGAATCACAAGCTTAATATTCAACAACATACTTAGTTCAATGACAAATACTAAGATGCAGTTTCAAGGTTTCACCTGAAAATTATCACATTAACACTAATTTCATTTCAAGTTATCAGGATAACTCTTGGACTGGAAATGTTTTCCAAAGAAATTATCTCCATTATTAGATATGCTCTACTGCTGGTGGAGAGAAGTTACTTCAGGATTACTCTGTTTACATTCAAAAGGCAACACTTAACGTTCAATACTTCAAGTAAAATCAGTTCGAATAATTCTCAAAACAAAGTCGACAATTCTTTTCATTCATATCAATCTGTTTCAAAATTTAATGCAAATCTTATCAATAATTTCGTTCATTAATTTTTCATATGATAAGTCTGAGATTCACCCAAAATCCATGAGCATTATGTGAATCTCTCTTGAGCTACTGTTTCAACAATCCTGATGTAACTGCTAATCGAACTATTTTTGCCAAAATTCGTTTCGAATCATTTTGTGGAAATCTGAATTAAACATTAATTCGTAATTAGAATTCTGGAAAGGCCTTTTGTCGCTGAAACCCATCGGTTTGCCTTTTTCATTCATCGATTTAGTTACATTCAGTTCCAATGTTGAGTTGTCAGTCGAAATGGAATTGCGACTTTTATTTTATGCTGGAAAGTAGAAGGGAAAAGGATAAAATGTTTAGAACTTTTCTTTTTCGATTTGAGGAAAAGACAAAAGTTGGAATATTGAATTCAATTTGTATTCACCAAAATGAACCTTTCAATTTGATTTCTGTCCTCACTTTGGTCATCTTATATCATATTTCGTATCTTGTAAATCAAATCAAAGTGAAAAACATTGACCAATCCAATCAATTTTGACCCTCACATCTTGAAGGAAAACAGCGAGAAAAAAAACTAAGACTTGAAATCGGATGGGATGAGATGAAATTCAAGACCATGTAACATGATTCTTAAAGTTATCAAAGGAAATTAAATACAATTTTTTGACAAATCTTTCTTTTCCTACTTGGCCACTTTCACCTAAAAGATTATCTCTCACCAATGAATCAATTTTTTGTTGTCCAAAGATCAAAGACAAAAACGACAAAAAATACGAATCAAGGATAACAAAAAAATAAAACAAAAAAGATCGAAATCAATCTTTTTCTCTCTTCCAAAGCAACAATAAAATTCAACTGACGAGTGATTGGATTCAATTTCATCTAAGCTAATTGTAAATTTATTGACATTCATGAGATGCTCAAAGATGAAAAACTTATTTGACAGTCCATTGATTCATTGTTTATCCTGAGTTTCACTTTTCAAATTCAATTGACAAATGGAAAAGTAAAAAAGCAATTTTTCCCATTCAAAAATTGTGAAACAAAAGACAAACTCGAAGCTGCATTTGATTCCAACTTAATCCATTATCATTTAAAGTGCTCTAAAACTGCCATCAAGTGAATCGACTTTGATTTAATGTTTAATTTATGGGCTTTTCAAGTGAAAAAAGGTACAAAATTTTTTCGTTTCGAACAAAAAAAGTTGAAAATTCCATTTAAAGCAATCGGCACATTATCAGTTTAAACCCAAGAGAAGTTCATTGTTATTAATAAATTCACAAAACAGATTTTAAACGTTTCACCAGTTTTCTCATTCAATTGAATCAACTTCAACAAAAGGCAATCCTGATGGACAAGAAGGTAAAGGAATGAACAAATTTTTCAGATTAATTGGTAAACTTGAAGGAAGAGCGAAAATGGAATGAAACATTTGCAATTTGATCTCTTCTGGTGAATCTAAAAGGTCGATATGTTCAACTTTCATGATTGGTTATGATTATTTGATGGTAACAAATGATTAAAAATGGTTTAATGGAAAAATTATTTATTGATAAAAAAGAAAAGGAAATTAATCAAATTGATGTTGATTGCTATGGTTAACTTTTACTGACTCTTCCACTTGCACTTGCTTTACTCTTTTGCTGTTCACTTTTACCAGCCACTTGGCTCATCACTGGGTTTAGCGTTTACACAGTTTTCCTGCTTCCACAGATAATAACAACAATATTAAACTCCCAATGGTTATGGCTTACAACCTCAAGGGAGTCATTTTTCATACTTGAAGAAGTTGCTTTTGACAAGAAACAATTCAACATTGAAACACTCTTCAAGAGAAAGAAATGCTTGCCCAGTTCAAATATCAAAGTTGATGCTCAATGTTCCCATCAACATCATTACCAATAGATTAGCATAACCAAAATCATTGAATCACTTTTCAAGTCGCACAAATTTTCTCATGAAAAATCTTGCATTCTATTTCAGACAAAAGAGAAGCTTGAATTCAGTCGAAAATTTACATCCAATGATCAGATTTTCTTGCAGATTCTTCTCGACACTCGAGTGTCAAAGGTTGATCTTTGCAAAACTAAGCTCGAGGTTTTCATCCGAGTTTTGAATGAATTTTTGTTGCAAAATTTGTTTAGAAAGAGTAAAGATTTAACTGTAAAATTTAGATAATTTTGACCTTTTACCTGTTAAAGGAAGGAAGTTTATTGTTCATAATGGCAAATCGAAGGCAACTTATTGTGACGAATCCAATTGAAAGGTAAAATATATTTTTGTAAAAAGTTGAGGCACTTTTAAGTTGACCAGGAACCATCTTGTGAGTAGATAATTTACAATGAGAAACTTGTTTTGGTGAAGTTAACTGTGAATCGATGTAACACTTGAAACGATAAATCCATCGTTTTGTACAGTTAATCATCTAAATTTGAAAAGAGATTAAGTTGATTATTTTACTTTGAATTTGGAGAAAAGAAAATGTTGCCAACAGAAAAATGTTCAAACCTTTGTTCGTAGATTAAATTTGAATAAAATTTGGTGAAAAATGCAAACAATTAAAGTTGTTGAAGCTTGTTCTTTACAAAAGGTTCCCAAAAACGTTAATAAGAATACAATTAAAATGCATTTATCTGTTGAGAAAAGCAAAAAAATAGCAACAATTACGAGTTAATTTTCAGTTAATGACAAAATTATGTTTAGTTTCGAGAAAAGTTTCTTTAATTTTCTTGTTTTCTCCTTTGAACATCATTTTCATTGAATTTCAAGTTGAAATTAATTTTCTTTTTGATTCGAAATGACAATTTATTTGTTTCATTTTGCGCACAAATTAAATGAAACAAAATGTAAGTATAATTAAATGAATATGTTTTCATATTCCATGCTCTATCATTAAGACCAGTTAATTAATCAGATTAACTTCAAGTTTGAGACGGCAAAACACTGGTAATGGAAAAGTTAATTATTTTAATTGAAAAAACTTCATTTCCAAATTGAATCCAATGTCGATTACGGACTGAAAATTGAAATTTTATTGCTTCAAATGATCATTAAGTTTTGTTTATGAAAATCAATTTTTACCTTTATTCTGATATCTCACACTCATTGAATGTTTTTCGTTTTTCATTCAAATATTGAAAGTTTAACATTCAAAATCACAGTCAACATCTGCTCATCTGAGAAGTGTTTACATGAATTGTCTAACTCATGAGTTTTATGAACAGATATCTTGGATGACCTCGGGTGACCTTTAGACTAAGGCTCTTCTAATTGAGATTTTAGTTGATTTTCAAGTCTGATTCTGAAGTATGTTACTAGACTTCAACTATGAAATTCACACTTGACAGACTGTTGAGGAAATGTTAGTGAAATAGAAAAAGAAAGATTCAGATTGAGAAACTGTTGGACAAACCACATTGAATAGATTCTGACGTCAATTCCTTACTGACCAACTTGGAACCTTTAAAATGAATGAAAACCCAAGAGTCAAAAACCAACCTTTTGTCCGAATAAACAAATGTTTGATAATTTTCAAGCTCCATTGGCTTTGACCAGACAATTAGCATTCAATCTTTGAATGGAAAAAACGATTTTCCCTGAAATCGTAAACGACAAGTTGCACAGTTGATAAACACTCTGTTCATGGTGAAAAAGAGCTGAATTGGCTTGGAAATAAAATGGAACAACACAGAAAAGTGATTTGAAAATGTTGACTAAACAGCAACATAAAACGTAATACAGCAACAACAATGAAACAAAAATGTTTTATGAAAACATTAAATTGATTATAAAGGAAAAGGAAGAGAAGGAAAAAAAGTAACATTTTTTTGCCTCAACTTGAGAGAGGAGCAAAAATATCAAATCAAATAAGAGACAAAATATGAATTTCAAATTGCAGTTTGATTAGATTGATTGAGACAAGATAAAGTTTCCTTGAATGATATCATGTCAAGCTTGAATAGCTTTTTTCTGGTTTATCTTTTTGTCTCTTGTTTTTTTTGTCTTCAATTCTTGTATCTCATTGATGCACATTTTGTTCAACGTAAACAACAACAATCCCTTCAATTGCATTGAACTTAGGAATAATTGAAGGCAAGAAAAAGACTGAAACAGGGAAAGGATGAAAAAGAAAAAAGTTGACACAGAAAAATATTTTCTCTTGAAGAATGAATGAAAGAATGTTATTATAAGAATAAAAATCTAAATAAGCAACATTTTTCGTTGAACGGAATTCACTTACGAATGAAATAAAAGATGGAAAAAAGATGAAGAAGGAAAAATCCGATTCTTTCTATTAAATGGATTGAAATTTTTCTTCCTCTTCATCACATTATCTCAATGTTATCTTGTTGATGCTTTTGGATTGCAAGTTGATCAAGAAGGTTCACCTGAATATACCTTTACATTATTTCATTTTCTTTTCCTTCTTATGTAAGATTATTGAATATATTCATTAGGAATCTTTTGACATTTAATTTGTCATTGTTTTCGATTGGATAATGAACATTGATTCAAGTAAATTCAATAAATGAAGGGAAATGAAAATTGAATTGGAAATGTTGACAGATTATTTGATTAAACAACTTCAATTATTGACTGCAATTTTGGATTCTTTTATTCATGTAATTTCCAGTTTTGCCATGCTTTTCCTCTGTAAATCTGTTTCTGATTGCACTTCATTTCAAGGTTACCAAATGGTGAAACTGATTGAACCATGAAATTGTACTGATCAACTATTCATTAAAGGTTCTCTGGCAAAGTCAAAGAGAAAAAAATGAACTGAATAAAGTTTCTTTTTGCACCGGGAAAAAGTAAAAATGCATTTATCATTTTTATTGTTTTTTTACTCTCAATGAGAAAGTTCATTGATTTACTTTGGAATTAATGATTTCGACAATATCATTGAGTTTAGATACAATTTCATGAGCAGTTTTCTTCAAATGATTATTTTATTATCTGACGCTCTGCTGAATGTTCCAATCAGATATTCTTTCATCGTTTCTGGTGCTTCCATGATAACAGTTAAGAAAGTCATTTTTACTCGAGTCGATAGAGATAATGGCAAAGTCACAGTTGGTTTTAATTATCGAATTTGAGGTCAGTTTAGACTAGCGTGCAATCTTAATGTGAACAGGTTTTCGGTTCGGAGAGTTTTGTGTGAAATTATTTCCTTTTTACATTCTTTCTGCTCTTTTTTGATCCAGCAATGAATGTTAGATTGTTGACACTAATCCGTTTTGAATAATCAATGTTCTTGGATATCGTAATAATGAGATTAGGCTGATAAACAGAAGATTTTTATGACTTTCGGTGCTAAAGTATTCTGATTTCTTCCATTGACATAAACCCGTGCAATCCAGGCAGTTTCTTATATAACATTCACTGGTCAACAACACGGTTCATAATAATCAAATGCAATTGAAACTGCTCAGAATTTAAATGTTCTGACATTGTTAGAATGGATCGGAAACTACCAAATCGACTTTATACAAAAACTGAATTGAGCAGCAAATGTTCAAGATTTTCTTGATGGACTAGCTCATTCCAATCGGTCGATCGAGTTTCAGACACAGAACCATTCTATCTTAGACTTGCACATCTTGCTTTATACCTGGAGTCCTGAGACCCATCCAGAGTCACCCAGATATCCACAATCAATAATTTTCTCAATATCATAACTTACATCTGGAGCACGAGCCACTTGCCGCGAGGATCCAGGCACTTCCTCTTCTCCATTTTCCCTTTCTCCCCCTGTTGAGGGTTCAGCCAGAAGTATGTGCTGAGTGATGGATAAAGCATCTTGCTTCGTCGCTATTGCAATCACTGGAGGAATGCAAGGTCTGCTGACAAACGCCACTTGCCCGGTCAATATGATTATTGTTCATAGCACACTGTCTTAGTTCGCTAACATAAAATTAGCTTTCTTTTGTTTTTTTCTGAACTTCTTCACAATAGCTCGAAAAAGCTCTGCGAATGCAAATCAACCTCCGTAAAGGTCTTTGCAGACCTTTTAGTTTTTGAATGCTCACTCAAATCTTCTCTGAAAAGTTTCGCTTTTCTACACATTGTAATAACACTGTTATTTAGATAATCATGAGAACTCCATGCAAAACTAAATGCTTTCCATCTTTAAAGTCAATATTTCTCTTACAGATTCTTTATTAGATTATTATTATAATAACATTATCATAAGAATTATCTGAAATGCTTTTCTTCTGTTTCTCGGCTATTAACCTTTCATACTCGATACAACATTTGATCAACTTGTTTCATCAAACTTATCGTGCATTTGCATTTAATTAACCTTTAATTACAAGTTAAGCTGTTTAACCTTTTAGCAATTCAGTAATAAACTAATTTTGCCGTCTTTGAGTTTCCAATAATGATTGATTGATGAAGAGTTGAACAAGTTTCAATGTTGGATCAATGAAACAAAAAAACGGTTCAACTTGCAACAATTGAACTCTTTCTTTCAACCCTCAACCCTACACAGTTTAACATGCTTTTCATCTTAACCTTAGCAAAGTAAATGGATAAACAAATCTTGGTGCAACAACAATTGTTTATCCAACATAAAGTTTGCCAAGAAAAGAGATAAAGGTTAATAATGGTTAAAAAATATTCTTAAGCTAATATTATTCACTGAAAGTCATTTACACCAATCTGACAATGTGAGTTTGATGCTTGATTTGGCCCATGATAAATGATCAAAAGTAAACTTGGCTTCTTCTTGGCATCAAGTTTTCCCTTCTATTCCACTTTCACTCCCAGCAATAAAAAGCATTCTAAAGTCAAGACCTTTCTTCTCTTTCTTCATCTTCCTGATCATCTTATTTCTCTCCATCTTTTGATAAAATAGTCTTTGAATCATTTTTCTTTTGCTCATCAAAGATGTGAACTTTTCGCCACTATTTATGAGCATAAAAGTAACATGAACAGAAGTTGTAACTGGAGAAATGGAAAGAGTCACAAATTAGAAATGATGTTTCAAGATGAGAAAATGATTTTTGAAGAAGAAGATGAAAAGAAGGAAAAGTTTTACCCAAATTATCTTCTTCTTTAACTGAACATTAAAATGCTTATTGAATGGTAACAGTTTAACCACAAAAATGTTGTGGACATTTAGTCAAAGTAAATGGTTCGAGTTAATGTTGCTCTCAACTGTTCAATTGTTCAACTTTACTCGGCAAAACAAAAGTTGAACCTTTTCCTTCTGCAACATTGAACTTGAACAAGTTATTAAAAATGCTTTATTAAGGTCATAATTTAAAGCCTTATTTTACATGGTTATCTTTCACTTTGCCTGAGAATAGAAACTCAACTTTCAGAATAACTATCAAACTTCATCAACTTGATAAATATTTATTTAATGTTGCTGTTGTTGCTGCTCTTGTTGATCATGTTGTTATTGTTGATGATGAGGATGATAATGAGGAATCGAGAATCAGGGAAACAAGTGAAAAAAGAGTAAATAAGAAGAGAAAAAAAAGAAGTTTATGATAATTTTTGTGCATTCAATCATGAGAATTCTGTGTTCGAAAGTTCCCATTATTCAACTAAACATTACCATCAAACTGATTATATTCATTCGCCAATAAACTCAGATGCCAGGGATTCTTTATATTGACTTTTTTTCTGATCTTGTCTTATCTCTATCCAATATGGGAGGAAAAACTGGAAAGGCAGTAAAAAGGTTTCACTTGGAAATTTAAATGAATTCGAAAAAAAAAGCTTCTCCATCATGTAAATGATTCCATGTTACCTGGAAAAGGTTGGTCAGTAAATAATGTTCCAAGTCAATTTAGGTTCAACATTAGAAAAGATGATTGGTCAATACTGAGAGCACATTTTATTTTGAAAATGATCTAAACTCTAAAATCGGTTCAAAAGTCTTGAAACTAGAGAATCGTTTTGGAATTGATTGGAGAAGTTCAAGAGAATCCTAATAAAAGTCGATATAATAGTCATAATAATCAAGATCGTAGCTCATCGAATTTCTGAGAGAAAAAGTTTCAGTTGTTTAGGTTGAAAACGAATAGATTTTGAAGCGAAAGAAGATCGAAATCGCCAAAAACCTTTTTCTAGACTTGGGCTAGATCAACTTTTAATCTTCTGGAAAAAGTTTTTTCAAAATCATTCGTTCTTAATTAGACGTTCTGCAAATGCCGGAAAAACTGAAATTCTTGGTGAACTTTGAACGTTTCTTGATGACTTTCCAAACGATTTCTTAATATCTTTTACCTTTCCTTTAAAAGATAATCAGAGACAATAAATGTTAGAAAATTATTTCAATCTGTCGGTGAATCGAATGACAAATGAAAAACTCAAATTGAAACATTCATATAACATGAAACGTTTCAATTGCTCATTTAGTTATGAATAGCGCCAATAATGTACAACATTTATTGTTTGCAAAGAGGAAAATAAAAAGAAATGAAAAGACAAAAAAGTAACCAAATAAACCGCAATTCCCAATTGATGTAATATTTCATCGATATCATTGTTTATCCGCAACAATTTAATGGCCTAATAACGAGTAAAATTATTTTATAATATGAAATAAATTCATAACGATAACATCAAATTGCAATAAAAAAGGTTTGCTTCCCAGTGAAGACAAAAAAAATGTTAACCAACATTGACTAAAAGAAAGCAAACTTTTTATCACTTTTCCCAACAAAAGCAAAATAATCACCAATCAACAGCCATTATCATTATCATCAGGTTTAATGTCCATTGTTTTCATAAAGTACAACCACCATTACTGTTATTAATAATAATCATAATGCTAATAATAATGTAATATCATGATGAACCTTCGTTGGTTTGTTAATGTTTAAAGTAAATATTGTGAAAATGATGTGCAAAAAGGAAAAGCAAGAGAAAAGGAAAAGAGAGAAAAAAAGTTATCCATTTACCTGGATTATTATTTTTATTATCATTATTGGTGTTATTATCCCCATTATTATCATGATTATTACCATTGTAAGAACAGTAATAAAGTAAACCTGAGAGACTGAAGAGCGCAGATAAAAGTTCAGCTCGTCCAACAATACTGGCAACCTGTTGATGGAAAAGAAAAGAGGTTAAAATTTAATCACAAGAACTTTATTCTTGGCCATTTTCGTTGTTTAACTGGGAGTGAAATGAGTGATATCGAGTTTAATGATTGATTCTTTTTTGTAATGAAATAAATTGCTTTTTACTAACAAATGTTTTCTTTCAATTTCGTGTTCAATGAATTGTCTTGTTTAATGACGATTCATGTATTGATTGTCGAAATGTAAATTTGACGAAAATCTTTTTCGCACATTTTGTTTTCTCTTCAAGTTTTTTGCTTTGAAAACTCATTGAGATTATTTTCGCTGTCAATTAAATTTATTCAACGTTTACCTGCCCATTGGAACAACAGTCACGAAAGTTTCATTTTTTTCTTCTTCTCCTTCACATGAAATGCTAATATTGATCTGAGACTGTTTGGTGAACAACACTTTTTTTCATCATCTGTTTATCGAGTTAAATGGTTGATAATAATATTGATAAAGTGATAGTCTGGGAGTTGATATTGTTGTTGGAGTAAATTATGTTTATGCTCAACGAGTATGAAAAGAGAGGGAAAGAAAAGGGTGAACAAAGTAGCAAAAAAAGGTGGTGAAACAGAGTAAAAATTTGAATAAAAAAGGCCAAATTTTGCATTCTTTTCATCTTAACCCTTTATTATTGTGAGAAACGCATTGAATTCATCTTGACAAAGAGCAGCAGCTTTAAAACCTTTTGATTTTTAACTCTTTTTTTAACTCGCTCCATTTCATCGTCAAACTTGATGAAATAATTTTTTTACATCAACAAAAAATATTGTAACATTTAAAGTTCACTTTTTGTTGCTCAATTTTTATTAATTTCATGTAAAGTTTAAGTGTCAATAAAATTGTTTGCATTCAACAAACAAAACAAAATAATTGAAGCTTTTCGTTTTTACATCAACTCGAGAATCGAAAAAAAGAAGTGATGATTTTTATGAGTTTTGATTTCGATTTTGAAACATTCTTTTTGAATCAATCAAATATAAAAATATAATTCCGAAAGTTGAGATTGATTGAGAATTTCATGATGAAACTTCTTTAAAATTTTAGATTTTATGGTTTCTTTAAAAACCATTTCGAGACATTTTAGTTATTCATTCTTGATGCAACCAAAAGTTGATCATTGAAAGAATTGGAATTCATTTCAAGGTCTAAGTCATTCAATGATTTTAAAGTGAATGGAAGTCGATCGACAAAAGATATTTTTTGAATAGTTTTAAGGTGGTCTTGGAATGATATTGCTAATGAATGATGCTCAGTTTGTGCTGAGAATGAAAAGAACAGAAAGATTTGATGAACACTTTCTGTTGGATAATGATTCTGATTGATTGGAGAGATTATTCTTTGAATCGAAAGGAGACACTGAAAGTTATGGTTCTGTAAATGACGGCAATTACTTGTTATTGAAAATGATTTCGAGTTAATTGTTGGTAAACATTGTGTAATACAATATCATTTCATAAATGAGGTCATCAATTTTCATGGACATGAAATGAGTTTTTTTCGCCTTCATTTTTTTTCTCTCTCATCATTTACCTTTCCTGTTGAATTTTGTTTCGTTTTTCGTCTTCTTTCTTTTGTTTGATTTAATTTTGTTGCTCTTGTTGTGTTTTGATGGATTAGCTCAATTGAAATTGATTGATTGTTGTTTCCAATAGATTAACAACATTTAACTGAACAAACTTTTACTGTTCATATGATTATCTCTCAGCGGTCATATGAACTTGTTGAGAGCTTTAGCTTCCCAATAAATGCACACGAAAAAGAAACTGAATAGAGAAAGTTATTTAGACATTAAATTAAGCCATTACCAGTAGCTCAACTCATAGCAGGTAATCTTGGTAAACTAAAAATGCTTTACTGGTCAACATTTTCATTATCAGAATGGTCAACTGTCAGTTCTTCTCTTTTCTTGTTGAACGCTCTTCAGTATCATCATCTGTTCATGGCAGATCAACTCAACAATGAAGAGAAGAACAAAACTGCAAAAAAAATCATCTCATGGTGGCTTTAAAACAGTTCAATGACAGAATAAAAACAAAAAACAAAGCTTTAAACTCAAAAACCGAAACTCGAAAGTTTAAGCTTTAAAAGAACTCTAAAAGAATAAAATCCAACATCAAATTCGCTGCGCACATCCAAGAGTCGAACGGCATTTAACTTTCAAACACTTCTTTGCCTCGTATCAAATCGTAGTTTTGTTAAACCAAACATTTTCTTTGCAAATGTCAACATTTTATTACTGAAAGCTTTCAAACGAAAAGTGGAGTTTAGAACGAATCTCGACATTCATTCCTATTCTTTGGAAGAATCGGCTCTGCACCTTTCTTTGCCTATTCGCAAATTGGCTTTGCAAGGAAAACAAATTCGCACACAAAAGTCTATTTCAGCAAATTGTGATTTCGTTATAATAGCAATCTCAATTTTATCGACTGTTGGACGCATCAGGGGGAAACCTGTATTCAGTTTCGATGAATATACTTGGGAATTCTGACCATCAATGAATTTTCTATTGAGCTTTCCATGAGAGCGAGTCCTTTTCATTAGCTTATTGAACTTTGAAAAGGCGATGCTATCGGAGTTATCAGTTTTTCCATCGCAAAGATGCAACATGGAAATTGGCTGAAACTGGATTCTGGGAGTTTTTATGGACAACTTTAAATTAATAGAAATCTGATTTTAATTTGATACGACAAATGAGATAACTGATAACTTGAATAACGCAAAAGGCAGGATCATTAACTTGAAATAATATTTGTAATGAGAAGATGATGATAATAATAAATCATTTGTGACATGCTAATAAAATATTTCATGTTACTTCAACATTATCATGTTTAAATATCATTCTGTGCTATTTAATTTTCTCCAATCTTTTCCTTTTCTCTACTTTTCTATTTCCCATTCTTGTTCAACTCTTCATTGTTTCACGTCTAGTTTAATAATCACAAATTTTTATCATTTTAAAAGCCTTTTTATCATATTGTATTAATAGTTATACATAATGTATAACAAAACCTTTTTTCATTACACTTTCATTCCTTCCATTTCATCTTCTTTCCTGATTTTTTCATTTTTTATTGATTTTCTTTCAATGACTTGTGAATAAAATCCCTTTTTGTCTCAGCTTATCAAAGTGAATGAAACTAAAACAAGCAAAACAAAAGTGAAAACCTAACAAGGTAAACCTTTGAAGGCAACTTGGGTTTTTCTGAAATATCAACGAAAGTGAAGCCTATCAACAAGTTTATTGAAATATTCTGTTTACATGGAAAGGTTGAATTGCAGAATTTTCATCCGGAAAACATGAATAAGATTGAAATGAAGGCAGAAAAGATTAGAGAAGATGAGAGAATGATAATTTTATCAATTTCTCAATTTACTCCTTTTCTTTTGCTCCAAGTAACTTGTTCATCAACCGATTACCTAAGCTTCTTGACAGATTGACGTAAATTCAGTTAAATCCCTTGAAGATGAAAGATGAAGCTAAGCTGAAAGTGAAACAGTAAAGAGAGAAAAGAAGAAAAGTTGAAAATGGAATGATGGGCTCAACATTGGAATTCAGTTATCCGTAAATTTGGCAACACAAAAGTGACAGTTCGCAAGTGAATGAATGTACCAAGAATGATTCGAAATAAGCGAAAAGATGAAACGAAACTTGCTCATCAGATATGACAAGTAGTTGGTCGAATAAGAGAAAATGAAGTCAAAAAAAGGTCCATTTTGGGACATCTGGGTCATCAGTTTCTTGCACAAGTGAAATTCATTTTCTCAACTCATCAAAATCTTTAATAGTCTCTGCAACTTCTCACTGGCTTTTAACCATTTCTTCAACATTTGTCCAGCTTTATTGACATTTTATTTGTGTGTTCACTTTTTGATCAGTTTCTTCGTTTGATTTGCTCATGAAACATGTTTGACTGTCAATAAAGCTAAATGGCAAGTTGAAGTTTCTTTTCGCTGTTTATGGATCAACGAAGCACATTGAATATATCCAAGTTGATGTTGATTCCCAAATGAATAGACTAAACTTGCTGTCTGCTTGAATCTCGAATAAGTTTACAGTTTTCAGATTCATTCAGTTTTGCCTTTTCTCCTCTTTATTTTGTCGTCTATTGAAATTTGGTTCATCTTAAAATGCTTGACACTTTTCGCCTTTCCTCATGACATGAATTTTCAATTCCATACTTGCCTTTTGTCTCCAAAACTGGACCATCATTAAGATAATGATGTTGATCATTACCATGTTTAGTTATGAAGTGACACTTTTTACAACTCAAACTAAAGCTGACCTTTTGCACACTTCAGTTTCGTGTCAAATTGACGAGACAAAATGAGATTCATTTGTTAGGATTTAAAGCAATGAAACTTGAGTTATATCGAAATGCTATGAAAATGAAAGCTACAAAATCTGGTTTGCTTGAGTTTAGATTTCATTGTTTCATCGACAAATGCTGCCTGTAATCGTCAAAGAGCACTTTGTTTAGTAAATTTCAACCTGGAGTAAGCTTTGATTCGCTTGCAATTTGCATCAAAGCAATACAATGGTCCAAGTCAGATTTTGTATCGTTTTAAGTTCACAAGAAAACGTATTTCGCAAGACGAGCTTTTAAAATGCAGAGACATTATCTTGTGACATTGAATAACTCGAGAAACATTTTCAGATTCTTTGCTATTTCACATAAGATTTCGATCTTGACGATAAATCTTTAAGATACATTTGCTTCAACTGAATCGCATTCATGTTGGTCTCAAAGCTAATTGCGATCAATTAGCGTGACTTGTTTACATCATTTTTCCTTCTCTACAAGATTTTTGTAGTTTAAAGAAACAAACTTTCATATAACATGCAATAAACTAGCATTCATAAACATTTGAACATTGATACAGATTTGCAGAGTCTTTTTGGTTCCCAAATTGACGGAAAGTTAGATTCGATCCATCATTTTGACTTAAACTTTTGTAAATCTTGTTTTACTC